AGCTTCTTAATTTTTATGACATTCTTGTCATTATTTTCTGATATATTTACTCCATAAATGTATTCCGAATAATTACTGCTATTTTATTGCATTCGGTTATTGTTCAAGTTAAGAATGATAGTCCATAAATTGACCTACTGCCTCTTACAGCCTCATTTTTGCAGGTCTCAGGTCGTAATGATTTTGCACTGCTTTACTCCAATGTAACCCACACTGAATTTCGAATATTAGAGAGCTATACCGACCAAAGGCTACAACAGTCTTTCCAATTCGCCAGGTGTGCGGCCTCGCCTAGTCAGTGCTATAGGAAGTTAAAATATGCTCCCCAAATAAAGTTGCGGTGTATGCGTTGAAGCTAGAGGAATTGAACTGTTGGAAGTTGTGGCCGTCGTTGGTGAATGCGCTGCTGTGCGTGCAGGTGGTGCAGGCCAGTGCTAAGTATATGTCCATAGTTTTGGTTGTGCATTCTCTAGATATGATTTGAGAGAAACAATTCCAGATAATGAATAATTTAAGGAGAAATATGATAGCATGGCATCCTTTCGTTGATGAAGCAGCAAAATTTACAGTGCAGAGTGTGACCTTGAAATTCGGGACAGACTGAATGTAAAGCTGAGTGCATTAGTTTAGTTTACTACGAGATCCGATGTCACTTATTTTGGTTTCTCAAGTGACGAAATGCGTTAAAATCCAAATAAATTGCACAGATTTATTCCCAATTACCCTCAAATAATGACCTAAATGCGGTTCGAAATTCGTCGCATCTATTGAGCTTCAGCACATTGGAAGAAATCACAGTCTGGTAATACGGTATCCTTATTTACGAAATCGCCATAAGCTCAGGCAATGGTGTTGACATCAATCCACAATATCAAGCTATATGAACAGAATGCAAGTTGGGATTAATAGGAAATTTCAGTCATGCAGCTCTTCGTGGGTTCAGTGCAAACATGCCCTTTAGATACTACAGATTCCTTTCGAAATTAACTCTTTTTACACTATGGAATTATTATCATACGTCTGTATTGTCCCTTTACTGATAAAGCAATTATATTAATAATTAATAATAGTAATTGATGATATTGTTGTAGTTGTAGGCGTGAAGCGAATTTGTGAGGTGAAATGGGCGGTGGTAAGAGTTGAGTGCAAAAAGTGACTTGATAAAAGCGTAAGCCTCCCTGTCCAAATAAGTTTCTCGTCATGTCGGGTGAGCCCTAACTCCAGTAAAGTTTAATTTTTCAATGAAATAAGGGCGATTAAATAGAGTAGAATAGAGCAGACCAGAACAGTGCAGAAATGAAAAGGATATGTGGTGAAGAAGTCATTAGGAGTCATGCAAATTTTGGTCGACTAGGGGTTTTATTTTTATCCTTAACATTCTACATCTTCTAAACATTAAATGGCTACATATGTATTTATAGTTTTTGTGCTCAAACAAATGTAGAGTATAATTTCATAACACCCGGCTTGAACTAATACAATCTTAATGCTGGAATGTGCATAATGCAGCACTAAGAAGATTTATTTGGGAAAATGAATGTCACGTAAAATACGACTTTAAGTTAAAGCAGCATAGACATTGATGTTGCTGTTGAAGGATAATTAAGAGGGGGGAACTGCTAAAGAAGATGCTGCTACTTATGCAGTGCTAATTTGTTCTTTTTGTAGTAGCGACCACAGGAACACGTTCATGTTAGTGATTTTGCCAAAAAACATGCATATTCGTGACTGTTATTGTGAAAACCCTTGCACTGTGCAGCACTAGCTTATCCTCTCCAGACTGACTGGGATGTAAGATCACTGTAGAAGCACTTGAACTGCCCCACTACTCACATCAAGCCGAGT